AAAAAAAAAAGAAGTCATAAATTCAACAACTTTTATTGCATTTTTGCAAATATATTCATTTATTTGTTATTAATAAGATTTATACATAAACTTTTATTTTTATTTTGCTTCCTAGAATGTTGATTACGTTACACCATGTTTCTATTTAAATAAGCAAGTTTAATTAGATATTAGATAAGAATGTTATGTTTTAAAATTTTAAGTTATATTACACATTACTACTGTTATTTTTCTTTTTTTTAAATTTATTTTAATTGGTTAAGCTATACATAAAAGAAAGGAGCAAATTTATTTTTAAAAAGTAGATATTTTTAATAGGAAATTCTTTTTGTTAAGGGTTAAGAAAAACATATAGAATTGTGCTGTGAATGAAAAATTCAGCCATATTACAGATCTAAATGTTGTTATGTCCAAAAAGAGCAAAAAACAGATGTTTTTGGATACTCAAAGAGAGCATTTATTCGTAAGTTGAGATTTCATAAAAATTTCTTAACGAACAAAATGTGAAATTAGTTATTAAATAAATGAAAAAAAAAGAAAAAGGAATTTAAAAAGATATTGTGTAATACTGGCTGATACACATTTTGTAATGATTAAACAGTAATAGATTATGATCGTTTATACGCGCAATAATTACGTACTGTGTTTAAGTGAAATATTATATTTTGTAATCTTATTTTTGTAATGACCTGCGTCGTTCATTCTGCGTTTATAAAATAAAAAAAAAATGTTATATTTGCATAAATTGTTTCTTCTTCAATAATTATCCTAATTATTTCATCTAAATTTCCATTAATCGCTGTATTAATTTATTGATGAGGTAAATTAAGAATTTAAGATATTTAATCACAAAAAAGATATAGAATCTTATGGATCGTATATTCTGAAGTGTGCAGCAAAAATTATAGGCTATAAGATCATTGATTAATTAATGCTATGATTTTCTAGCACGTGCTCTACAATAATGTAAATAAAACAGCGTTGCGGTACAAAACCTACTTATGTCGATATTGTAGGATATGACACAAAAATGGAAAATTTGAAGCATTTTAAGAAATATTAATTTCTTTTTAACGCTGTCCATATTTTTTTATTTTAATTTCTATCACCAATAGCACTGTAGTGCAATACTTGTCTAAGTCGATATAACAGGATGTGACACGAAAAAGCATTGAATGTCCAGTCTAGGCAAGTTAGTCAATGCCATTATCATTGACTATTTACCATTTGAATACACTCACTACATTATCAACTTGATACGAATGATTACTAATTTATCTACTGAAGGTAATTCTTTCTTTGCTAGATGCACAATTTAAATGAAAGAAATGTTATCTATTCAGAACTTAGAAAACTAAACTTCAAAAAAGATACTCTTTCCACTTATCAACTGTTTAATTTATAGATGAAATTTCTACTTTTCGAAAGCAGATACAGAAAGATCGAAATATCTTCAGAAATGTAATCCATGAAACTTCAATTCTTAATTCAAGACTTATTACGCTCAAATAGATTGATTATAATTAAAGATTGAGTCGAAACTTCTACCGACGGTTCAGGACACGGCTACCATCTTGAAAATCATGGATCATCATCTTTCACCAAGCCCATAAGATTCTTTTCGAAAGAACGAGTCCTGGTTTGGTTTCAGAGTGCTGGAACCGGTTGCTCCGGGGCATGCCTTCACTTAAGACAGCCCATCGAGAAAATTCCCGTGTGTTGTACCCATACGGACATTAAAAAGGATCAAAACGGATGTGTTCCAACATCTGCGTCCTCATAGGCGGAGTCAAATCATGGCTGAAACTCCAATAATTTATCTCGCGCTCCGTAGATTTATAATCAAATATAAAACGTAGACATAAATTAGTGTGGACAGTCTTATTGTAAGCTGCCGATCAAACATAACTATGTAGGATATCTCGTCTTAGGAATTTCAAATGTATTTTTCTGTGGTCATAACTTTTCTTTTGTCCTAGAGATGTTGAGATGAATTATTTATTCTGGGATTTTTTTTAATTATATTAATCATACGTGGTATGTTACAAACTGGACTAATTTATCGAGAAATCTATCACAAAATGAATGTTCAATGTCGCTGGTGCACCTTGCACTTTGCCAGATAATTCCTGCATCAACACTCCACTAGGATTACCATTCGTTAATCAGAACATGCTGTTTGTACATCTGGAATTCATTTAACAACCGATTATTACCAGCCATCTCTACAGGTCGTTCCACGTTGATTCTATTTCTTTTTGTGAGAAATAAGTCGAAAGTATAGAATAAAATATCATTTAAAATAAAATTTGAAATTGTATCAAAAATATACGTTATAATAAGAATATCACTAAAATTTCGTTCCACATTTTCTACTTAGTTTTGCGTATAGAACTATCTCGTGTCTAACTTATTAAACAAATTCTTAAATTCGATTTTCCCGATAACGATGCGTCGTACACTCATTTTTAGTCGTAAAATCAACAACGATCGCCAACTTTTCTTGCCACTCGTTGTAACTAAATATAATAAATAACAATAAATAATTTTTCTGCTCCGTATAAATATCTGTATAAACATATCAATTCATAGAACAAGCTCTATCCTCCAGATTTGTTAGAGTTTCACCTAATTGAATCCAGTCTGCAGGACTTCATCTGTCCGTAATATTTTCAATTTTCTAAATATCAGATTCTTGCAAGCTAGATTCCACGCTAATTCGTTTTTAATTGTCGCTGGATCATTTTCATTGTCGCTTGGTTCTACAAATTCGCGATAACGCGCCAGGAAGTCAGATTAATCCTGACAATGAGCATCGGATTATAGGGCCTTCTGGTTTGTTCAAAATTGCAGACACTTTGCAGGCTAACTTTCTAAACTATCTAATTTATTGTGTTGATATTTCCCGTCAGTAAGCCATTTTACGCCGATAATTCCCGATCCGACTCGTCCTTTCACCGGACCAAGTAGCCATTATAAATTATAAATTACCGAGGCACCGCCGACACGATACAATGAACATTTGTTCAGATTTTTTTCCCTTCCGCATCTTTCCTTGCCG